GTTTTCTAAGCGACTATCACTTTAATCATGCTGAATACATTGCGTCTTAATATTTTTGACAGTTTCAAGAGTCTATTCGCAAGAGTTATCAATCTGTCATAACTTCATCAGCACCTTTAGCTGTCTCGCAAGTTGTCTGAAGCGCTATGAAATGCTCAGGCGAGAGCGTAGGTTTGGGACGTGCTTTCTTTGTGTGAGCACTCCCACAAGAAGGCCACTTTCTAAAGCCACAAGCCTCTGCCTGTGCCTGCACAGACTCTTGAAAAGGGAGTATTGGGTGGACAGAGTAGGCCACAACGAATCAGATTGAGTGTTGTAATGTGATATAGAAGTATATATGTGTAGCATCCCTAAAAGTCATAAACATTGAAGAGGGTTCTGTGTGAGCTGCAGATGGTTCAACAAATTAAAGGACCCAATTTTCATCAGTTGCTGGATTCTGCCCTGTTTTACAATTGACAGAGATAGAACTAATAGGGTCACTAGAAAGCTCTCCAAAGTACCAAAATTCTCTTCTGTGGGCAACGTGCCACCATCTTGGCTCCATTTGCCAGCGGATTTTGTTTTTAATCTCTCCGCTCTGAGGGAGACCATCCAAATTTATGGTGACAAGTTGTTCTATAAAAAAAGTTTCTCGTACACCAACATTGTCTTGCGCCTGTTCTTGATCACTGTATTCAGGCACCAATCATTTTTGTTAATGTGTGACAACAGTGTACAAATAAGCTTTTTTTCTTTTGTTTTCTTGCAGTATTCTTTCTTAACAAAAAAAAGTGAGGAAAATGAATGAGTGCAGGGTTTGCGCTGCATCCAGTAGATGCTGCCTCCCGCTTTGACGAATTCTGGTGTGGCGGCTGTATTGAAGAACAACTTTTGAGACAAGAAAAAGGAACGAAAAGATATTTTAGGTGATTGGTGCTGATACAAAGGTCGAGCAGTTGATTGTGCATGGAGATACAAAGATGTTGACATTAACGAGAAATGCTTTTGGTGCGATGGCACATCACCGTGATCTACTGCATGTGGCTAATGGACAATTTGTAAAACTGAATGCCACTAGTGGCTGAGGGGCACTCTAGGAAACAACTGGCAACAAAAATTTGAGTTTCGATTTGCTTCATCGTACCACGACCAGCCACAGACACGACGGACGTGTACCTTGCTGTAGCCTTCGTAGATTGATCCACGTGTGCATATTACGCATATGCAGTAAGTATACTTTTCTTTTTATAGGTTAATCCCACGCTTAGCTATTCAAGACCAAAGCAAACCATGTCGCAGCATTGAAAGTGAGACAAGATGACTTCAGAATGAAAGGTAGAGCACAAGGACTTTGTGAAAGCCCATAGCTAATCTTGGTGCTGGCCCTCCTCAAAGTCTATTAAAGTTTAAAACAAACATGCCAAGATGGGGAGGAAAGCAGCGTATGTTGATAGGTGGCGTGTTCGGCTTTGTTGTTGCGACATGGTTTTGCTTTCGCCTTGAAGTTGCCGTCTAATAAAGTCGCTAAACGAAATATATGCTTTTAATGCATCACTTGCATTTGTAGAATAACACACGGAAGCTACGTCAAGGCACATTGCAGTGAAGTGCAAGGCGTAGAGTCTTTGGTTGGCTGCTGTACGATGGAGGTAACCGAGACCTGCGTCTCTGTTAGCAGTTGTTTCCCAGAATGCTCTTCAGCCAGTAGGGTGGCTCCGGTTTTACACATTGTCAGTTCAGAGTGGATTTGAAATTAAGGGAGCCAAAATGGTGATTGCCCTGCCAACCGCAACGAAACATATATACAACAATTGTTTTGCAAGAAGAAAAGGAATGTGATAATCTGTAAACCTACCATATCTAATTGCTCTATACTTCACATGAACTATTTTGTCCAACATTGTCATGGATAGCACAGCTTCAAGAAGGCTGCAGCATCTCTGCTGCCAGAATATGTGGTTTTGTTGTGCGTGTCACTCACGTTTGCTCTTGTGCGAAGGAGACACGTTGGAGCACTGTGGAAGCTATGCTAAGCTTGACAAAAGAGCATAAAATATTTGACGCCGAGTACAGGTAGCACCATGTGGGGGACAGAATCTCATACTTTTTCTGTACACGTCTCCTGAACTTGGTGAACATAACCATTGTGTATGTTCCATTAAAAGAATCTGAGACGGTGTTCTTTTCGGTGTGAGTTTTGCCCTTTTACTGCTCTGACAAAGAAATGCCTAGGTTATTGTTTCCTATCACTACAGTTTAACCTAGGGCTGAAGGCATGACTGTTCAGTCTCCCTCGGTAGGTGTCTCAGAGCACAATATACTAGTAGGTCTAAAATATATTACTAAACTAAAAAAAGATTTTTTTTTTCCCAGCTGACTTGAAACCAGTTTTCAAGAGCCTGGATATGGCATATGCTACAGTGGAAACACTTACCTTAGCCCTCTTGTAACCTATAGTAGCTAAGTGTTAAATGTTCTTTTTTTTTTTGCTCCTAATATAACTGTCCTTGCCTCTTCGACGGCTGTTGCTGTACATGTGCGGTGGTGATTACATATCTGAAAGTGCCCGCCTAAACGCGAAGCTTAGCGCATCGCGGGAGGCGTTGCAATTTGTTATGTCTTCGGAGAACTATAAACATTTTATTTGCAGAATGTTTCGGTTTGCTGGACTATTTATATATTCTGAATTAGAGGCACCGCGCACGTGATGCTCACTTTACATACTGGCTGCTCTAGTGGTAATGCCAAAGGAAGCACTGACTATTCCAGTTAACACTTCTAACACTTTTCGGAATTAAACTCAGAAAATGAGAGCTCGTTATCCGATAAAGAAGCTCTGCAAAGTACCTCCGGTTAGGAATCGAAAGGGGCTGTTATATTGCGGAAGCGGACATACTAAAATTGAAACCAATGCAAGAAAGGCGACAGTGTTTTGCCTTCAATATTTTCATTTGATGCTTCTAAACCTAAGCAGCTTGCAAGCACTTTACATGTGTATTGACCCTTTCCTTATATAGTATTCCTTTGGAAACAAAACCTAACCACAAAAAAAAAAAAAAAAAATCTAAAGAAAAGCAACTTGACTCCCATAGGGTTAATTAATGAAGCAGACTTATTTTACATGATTTCTTTCAGTTCTGTGGTTGTAAAATAGTCCAGTTTCATATTTTTAAATTTTGTTTCTTGAATTGACCCGAAATTCTTAATTTTTCTTTCATTTTAGTTGCCAAACTTGCAATTTTATCTCGGAACTGTTTATCTTTTTTGTATTGAATATTGACCACACGTTTGAAGAAATATACACAGTAATTTACCTTTGCTGGATAATTATATTTTTTTATGTGATAAATGAGTTACCCAGCTTCTCAGTTTTTTGGCTGCAGTTGCGAGAAACTCTTTTAAATGTGCAGAAATCCTAGAATGAAATTCTGGAAACAAAATCTGTGTGTCAACACCTATTGTAGCTGGTTGTCAGAACACCAGATGCCAATGATTATGAGGTGTTGGTCTGGATCTATTCATAAACGAACATGTTTTTAAAAATAATTTTTTTCAAAAAGAAAATGCATTGAAGGTGGGAGAAAGATTCAGCATCAGTCTATTGGGAGATTTAGGAAATTTCGTATGTTTTTACACATTTCTGAGGAAATTTCTTGGGGTGGTGCCCATCAGCTACAATCTGTAGCTAGGAGCTAAATACATTGACATATTGCTGCAACTGACTTCTAAGCTCTTGTTTTCTGCTGGCTTCAAATTTATGGTTTGAGGTTTACTGGCTGGCCATTATTTGAATGTTCATCTCTCACTACTAATATCAAACGATTGAGGGAATAAAAGCCACACACACACACACACAGATACTCATGAAGTTCCACAATTTATAACATGCGAAAAGCATTTTATATATTATAATGACTATCCAAAGCAAGAAAAGTTTTACTAAAGGAAGCCTTATGCAGTGGGGCATCATGTACTGTGAATGGGTTCAAGGATAAGCAATACTATTAATGCTTTTATGCCTGGAAATTACAAATCATGTTAAAAGGATTAATTTTTCTCTACTTTATTCCTTTATGCTTGTGGCTTTTTGGAGGGAGGTTGGGCATAGTTTATGTGATTCATTTTTCACACTAAGATTTTACAGACTAACATTTGTTACAATCTGTAAAACTGGAATCAAAACAACTTTTGATTCCAGCAATGAACAACTCTTATTTGCAGTGAGTATTTTGCACTACGTTGTGTGAGCAGCATGCTATTCACTGTCTTTGGGCAGATATTGCATTGTGTATCATTTGTTTCTCCCAAACTTGGGTCTATAAACCCACTTTACCAGTGTGTATTAGTTAGTTGTGTGCGGCCCCGACTTCTTCCGGACCAGGCCCCCTCTCTCGCGCTTGAACTGCACGGCGACTGTGGTCTTGACTGAGCAAATAGTTATAAAACAAACAAGCAACGAAGCCATCGAAATAAGGCAGGATGTGATGATAATGCCAAGCAGTGCTCGTCGTAAAGCAAAGCTCTCACTGCCTTTGAAACTGGCATTTGCATTAATTTAGTGCAATTGAGTAACCGGCTACTTCAATATACTCACTCTGCGGATTTACTGATGTATGCTTGCTTTTCTGTTTATGGTGAATCACTGCCTTTTTTTTTGGATGCGGTGCATAGTTGTTATTGAGGTATTAATATTACACTATCATAGTTCACTAAGCGAGGTTGCCTGTAGCACCGTTGTTGTAGAAAGCCAGATTGGAATGTTGCTTCAGTGCACTACATTGTGACTAGTATATTTGTGCTATCTGAATACAAGATTGCCGTAGCACGAAGGGCATACAGACCTCTTTTTAAGAGAGACAACTTGCAGTAAAGGGTAAATAGCTTTATCTTGTTTGTACACGAGACTGTTGAATGGATCTTTCAATGATAACAAACGTGACCAGGCATCGATTCATCATAAGAGTTTTACTTTCCGTCGTCTAAATATTCTGTGGCTTTGGCTTACTTTGCGAGTTCTATCAGGCTTTCATTAAACCCGCTATTTCCGCCAAATAAAAGTCTGTTATTTCGTCGGGGGCTTGGCTAAAGATGGTGTAAAGGATCCTCCTGCTCAGCAGGTCGGGCTGGTAGAGCTTGCTTGGGTTCGTGATTCGGACGGCGTCGAGCATTTTCTTTGCCACGTCCAAGACCACAGGGTCCGGTTCTGTGGCGAGGATGTTTCGTATGTTGGACTCCATTTCGTCGGCGTAGCCCTGTGTGGAATGTAAAGGGGCTTGATTAACCCCCGCACCGACAAATTCACTCACGGCATGGTTGGAAGAGGGGACTGAAATATATAAAAAAAAAAAAAAAACTGAATAAAAGAAAAAAAAAACTACAAAAGCTACTTGTTTTAAAAAGCTCATTCGTGCAGAAACACTTGCCGCGGCATACTTGCAGGAGCTTCTTCAACATGAATGCGCAATGGGAATTTGAGCCTGACGGAAATAAAAATGATAAAGTAAACATGAATCCAATATTCTCAATTGTCACATGTGTCTTGTTGCTTGCTGACGGGCATGCTGTAATACGCTGTTCTTGATGTAGAAGTGTTCAAAACGGTTCTAAACTTCGTTCGAGGAATGCGTTCCGAGGCCTTGGAAACATTGCTAATCGAAATGCACTTTGAGACATCTTTGTCTCATGGTGAAATGAGGGGCGCTTATTTTATGGTCTATATACGTTCAAAGGAGCATTATCACATCGAACACACCAACATCTTGTTAAAAAAGTCACGAAAAGGAATTTTAAGACGAATTAAACGATTAGCAAAGAGCACCTGGTGGATGTCGCTAACGCCTCGTTTGTATAATGACCGTCTAGGAACCTTGACAGCTAGTGACGCTGAGTGTCTCGCCTCCAGCCACGACGAGAGAAGAGGCGAAGGAGGAACTCCGCTCTTCCCGAGAATGCCTTTGTGTGTTCCCTCTACAAGATGATAAAATATTAACCCGTCACCCATAAATTCGTACAAAAGCAGCCGCTTCGGTGGCTGGAACGACTAGGCCATCCCCTCGACGTCAGCCTCGCCGTAGCTTTGCTCGTCCCGAGACGACCTATGTCACGACTGCGTCGGATGTCACGTGCTCTAAGCTGGGCCTTCTCCGAGCGCTTGCTAGAGTGGGCCGTTTATAAAAAAAAAAAAAAATACAGCCACCAGACTCGAAATACAAATGTGCGATTGTCATTTACGGATATTGTGGATCATACTCAACCTATTTTTGAACACGATGAATATATTTCAAATTTAGTTGAAGCCTCCCAAATTACAAGTTTGTTATTTTTTTTTTTTTAAATCTGAGACTGAGAGGTTTTACTGGCAACGCTGAAAACGTTATTATTTTTAGGCTAGGTGGCGCAAGCTACCGCTCGTTACAAAGAGTGCAGCCGTTATGATCCAGCCATCCACCAATTCACTAGCGACACCAGTGCAGCTCGTTCCCGACGGGTTATAAAAAGCTTGACGTTGTAAAAGCCTACGTTAGCAGAACGAAAAAAAAAAAAAAAGCGGAAAATGCCGTGTTTTGGACGTTGCTTTTGGCATACCCTTCATTTGCCGTTGTCTCAATAACTGTTTTGAATTTAGAGATAATGAATAGCAGTAAGAGTAGAGCAAATGTATTGCGAAAAAATGTTTAGTTATGGGTTCTCCCAAACAAGCAATTCTATGCTTCAGCAGCTTAGAAGAATTGCTTGTTCGGGGTCTCGACAGAAAATCTCCCCCTGATGTTGAAAGTTTAGCGGCTGTTTTTGCTGCATGTTAAAACGTAAAAAAAAGAAAAAAAGATGTTTTGCACTGAACAATGTTTATTTAAGCAAGCAAAAAAGCGCCGAAAAAATACAGGGACACAGACGAAGGGAAACAGGACAAGGCGCACTCTCAACTGATGTTTAATGAAAAATTCAGACGTTATATAGCCACACACACACAAAAAAAAAATCATTTCTTTTCTATCTACTTAGCCCGCGTTTCAAAAATTCAAACTCATTTGTAGATAAGGATACCGACGTGTCACTTATACAATTCTTGTCTCTGGTCCTAATTGCATACGCCTCGTGTAATTTACACGAGGCGTATGCCTCGTGTAAATTAAAAATTTACTATTTTAATATATAATTTAATAAATTAAAAAATAAATGTAATGTTTATTTATTTTACACACCGGAAAAAAGTTTTTTTTTTTTTTTTTTTAACAGACTAGTTGGGACACGCTTGTCAAAAAAATAAAGTTCACGCGCAAAAAGTTTTTTTTTTTTTTTTTTTTTTTTTAAAGCAATGCGCAAGTCAAATCCTTTACACTTGTTTTCTCTCTAGGCATTTCGGGCGCGTAGGGGAGAGTTTGATCGGTTTGGCCTTCACGCTGAGGAATGGTCACGCTGTATGACCATTCCGTGACGTCATGGACTTTGCGCACAGAATTTGAAATAAATCTCGCGCCGTCAATATTGCTGTAAAAATTGTTTTTTCGCGTAAAATTTATTTTTTTGACACGTGTGTCTCAACCAGACTGTTCAAAAAAAATCTCGGTGGCCTTTTAAAGGCCCAGAGGTACTACATAAGGTTGTAATAATAAAAAAAAAGAAACAAGACAAATACAAATACAGTCTACGTAAAAAACAGCATTGATAAAAATGTAAAATCATGTTAGTGACCTTTTGGCGCAACAGAACGGGATCAAATGATGGAGACGATGGTTTGAGGAGGGTTATTCTATGCAATAATCGGTACTAGAAAAAAAAAATAAGCCGGTGAATGCAAGTCTTGTGGACTTTTCAAGATGGCTATGGTTGAGGCGTGAAGATGACTTATACGTATTTGGTTGTACAGCATGGTGAGTGTAAGGTGTATTGTTATAAACCGTGGAGATAATTGTGCAATGATTAGCCGAGGTTGCAGGGAAGGAATTTCGAGAGAGGACTTGAGTGCAGAGACGCTGATTGTACGTGAGTATGAGGATGTTATGAAACGGTCTGCCCTATGTTGAATTGCCGCTAAATGAATTGCTAGGTATGCCTGTGATGTATTCTAGATGGAAGATGCGATTTCTAATTTAGGCCTTGCATTTGTTTCATCCGCCAGCTTCATGCATGGGAGGCGGTATTTAAGTTTCGCCTAATGTAACCAAGTGTGCGTGACACATCAGCAGCTATTGATTCAATATGGTTTTTGTAAATGTGGTTAGATGACCGATGAATGCAGAGGTACATGTACCATGATTCCGAATTTACTAGGCAATTGTCGATGGAGTAAGAGTATAATGAAATATCGCATATTGCGGTATTCAATGGCATTAGCCAGGTTTCATTCCATGAGTTAAATTGGATGAGGTCTTCCTGTAATTTAATGCGGTCATGTAATTTTAAGATGAATGGTATGGGACACATTCATCGGCAAAGAACCGGATGCACGAAGTGTTTGTTGGCAGATCATTGATATAGGTTAAAAAACAATATTGGTGTGGTCCCAACACCTTGAACTCCGGATATTAACTCTGGCCAAACGAGAACTGAGATTGTTTGTTACTGTGTACTAGAGGCGTGATGTAAGGAATTCTTGAAAGCATGGTATAATGAGAGTTGGAAGTAGCGGCATCATATCGGTGCGATCCCAGCGGGTAGAATCTAAATATAAAACTCCTTGCAAGCCAACTCGTTATAAGTGAAATGTATAAATAAGTCAACTCATTGCAAGACATCTGATAACTGGTTACTTATCTATCTCATCAATATTTTACTTCGTCACAGAACCCGAGTTGGAATTTCGACTCGAATGTGGGATGACGGTTAATTTTTCATAACTAATAAAAACGGGTAAGAGGCGAATGGAACCTAGCGTAGCTTCAGGTCGCTAAGAAGCTATTTATTCAGTGATCGGAACCGAGTGGACTGACTTTTGTGCTACGTGTGACTACAAAGTATTAACAGTGTGTGAAGGTAGGAAAATAATGAGTGTTTTATAGACCACCAGATGGAAATAGTGATATTTTTAAATTTTTTTATGGATATCTTTGATTTGTTAATGAAAATGAATATACAGTTATTTTTGGCGGGGATTTTAGTATTGATACGTTGAGAGACTCAGCTTTAAAAAGGGCGATGGATATTATTATTCAAAGTAATAGGTGTTTAAATACAATACAAATTCCAACTCAAGTTACTGTAAACTCTGAGACATTAATTAATTAATTTATTAGCAATACTGACCGTGCAAATATAAAAGCGGGAACCATGAATTACCACCTAAGTGATCAACTTACAATATTAATGTGTTTAAAAACCAAAATTCACAAAGTAGAAATGCGTCGTTCTCGTCTCAGCATATAACCGCCTAGACCTAGGATGGAGTGAAATGTTTTGCTTAAAGGATGTTGATGGAATTTAGTTATTCAAAACCATTTATAAGCGCCATTTTCCGTACAACGTGTCAAAAGGAAGCTGGAACACTTCTTGGAGAAAACGAGTTAGAGGTGAATTCTGACGTATTTTTATCTCGCGAGGAATATCACGTTCGTTCTGCCCGAAGATATTAAACGTGAGAAAACAGGAAAAACCTCTGACCAGTCATGACGTCATCCTAGGATCTTTGGGCCGCCAAGCCAACACCACCTAGATAGCTTTCAAGCCTGCGCGTCACGTGACATGACGTCACGTCCCGGAGGCCTGCAGGGGCGCTCATTGGATGCGAGCGCCGCGTCGGCGTTTGCTTGGGGCTCGTTTCCTATCATGGTCCCACGCGAACGCTGACGCGGCACTCGCATTCAATCAGCACCCGTGCCGGCCTCCCGGACGTGACGTCAATTCAGGTGACGCGCAGGCTTGAAAGCTATCTAGGAGGTGTTGTCCAAGCGCGTGTTGCTCGTGTGGGCAGCGCGTGCATTTGCAAGCTTGCCTCTTTCTGACATTTATGAAAATAACAAGAGTGCGCGTGCATAGCTTCGACAGGCGCTGAAGATGCGCGAGAGCAGAGATTCCGAAAAACATGACATCACGCCCCGGTAAGGAAGGGCTTCAGCGGTAATTTGATGAAAATTAATTTCTGCAGCCTCCGTGCACCCAACTGAAAGATAGTCTCCACATTCGTGATCCTGGAGGTCAAATGAAGACGATTTAGTTGTTTTTTCTCAAATACAGAACCGTTTCAGTTTTCCTTTGAAGGGATACTTCAACGAAATTTGAAATATATCTGTCGTGTTCAGAAATCGGCTGAATATGA